GATCTCATGGGGAAAACACAACAAAACTCGGAATTCATATATAAAATCAAAGTCATACAAATTACAACAAGTAAAAAAATCATCTCTAATTTCTCCCCAAGAACACTCCTCGAAGTTCCTCTGAATCTCTTCCTTTCTTTACTACACACAGAATTCTTCTTCGAAGCGGCAAGGAGGAAGAAATCTCTCACTTTCTCTCCACTCTTACAATCTCTCGAAGAATTCCTCACAATCTAACCCTAAATTAAACTCTCTACACACTACTGGGGCTCTTAAACTTCTCTGAACCTCCTGAACGCTGTTTCCCCCCTTCTCAATTTTTGGCTAAAATCTTCTTTTAAAGTTGTATAAGAGTTTTTCCAAGAGTTGCCTAAGCATCCCTTCAAAAATCGTCCATATTCAATGCATTTGTTGAGATAACCGCCGATCTCGCCGTCGGCGTCCTCGAGGGCCCCCCGTCGATTTCGCCGTCGGCGGCCTTCAGAATTTATTTGATCTGGACTCTCGGGAAGATCTCATCGTCGGCGTCGTTGGGCTCGCCGTCAGCGGCTTAGTTCAAATTTTCATATTTTGGTCCTTTTCGCTTCAAATTCGCTCCTTTTTGCATCTTTTTGCTTCAATGACCATAATTCATCATACCTACAACAAAACATCAAAAATAACTTTCTTTAAAGTGCAATATCATCAAAATCAGTGTAAAATAGGTATGAAAATCTCAACATATTTTTCTTTGGTCAATCACCTACGTGGGGCCTATGCGTCAAGGAGCAGGTGCCTAGGCGATGGTCACTTCCCGAGTGATGAAGTATGATCTTTTTGACCCCCAAGGTAGCTGAAATGGCAAAGGGTCTTGTCGATAAACCTTGAGGCTGTAAAAGAGAGCACCCTCCCTTTAGAAGCATCCCAGGGCTTCTGTTGAGGGACTTCGGTCAATTCCCAGGGCACGTTGGCTTAAATCAGGGAAAGCCTCACTTTTCTATCTCTCTCTCGCTCGAGCTCTCTGTGGGCTGGTGCACGGGCTCCCTCTCCCTCTCCCTCTTCCTCTTCCTCTTCCTCTTCTCACAGTTAAGTCAATTTATATAGTTGAAATCACATCCTAACCGACCTCTCATTTCCTCTTCTTCGTTTGTTTGTTTCCTCTCCCTTTCTCGATTCATAATTATTTTATTCCATTTATGTTCGTTTATTCTTCGCTGTTCCTGAGCAATAAAAAGGATGTCTTAGTTAAATGTTATTCAAAATAAAAAATTATTCATATTTATGGCTGTCCACTCTCCTACGTCGTAGGAGAGCTTCATCCTAGCTCGGGGATGGATCGTTGGAGCGTCGTCTGAAATGTGGGCTTCTCTCATATTGATAGGATAACTAGGCTACTAAAGAAGTTTTCTAGACCTCAACCAAAAGTGAGGTCAACAACCCCCTAGCCGATCGTAGGTTATTCTAGGTTTTGGTGTGTTGGGTTTGACCGCTTACACGGGGTGAGCATAGCTGGTCGAATACTCTCCCTTTTGTCAGCTATTGATTTCCTAGATCTAGTCATCTATTAGGATTCATGTGCGCGGCCATTTCTATACGAGGCCGAGTGATTTCCCTCGATGAGACCTAGGTCTAAATTCTAATGGGTTGGAATCCTAGTTTCCCATGACTTTAGCACACCCAACATTTCTTAGAGGGGTTGGTTGAGTTCGATTTTAAGGGATGGGAAAAACTTTGTAGCTAGCCCATCTTGCGAGATCGCTGGAGTTCGTTTGATGGAAAAAAAACTTTGTAACTAGTTCGCCCTATGAACGATGAATGACTTCCCCTACAAGAAATCAGAGAGCGAACTCCTCTACGTTTCCACGCCAAAGTCGGAGGCGACTATGTCACGGATCCAAGAGCGTCAACCCTAGTTGCCTACGCGAGGTTATTAGGACGAGTCCAACACATTGTCGAGTGTTTTGTGTTGCATTGTATATTTGTGGTCATTCGTGATATTTTTGGCATGTGGATCATATCACATATTGCATGTGTGACTGCGTGAGCACTTCAGGTCGATCAACCATGTTGGGCCGATCACCAATTTTAGGTTCGATCGACAGTTCCAGGGTCGATTACTCTATCTCTCTAATTTGATCAACCGCTACGTGTCAATCACCCGCTTTGGGTTCGATCAGCCGTCGCTGACCGATCATGTGGTTTCTAGGATTTGATCGACCGCTATGTGTCGATCACCTGCTTGATTGAACAACGTTCAAAAGACATTTGAGTGCTTTAATGATGTCATAATCGAGTGACAAAGGCTTATTTGGAAAGAAATTGCGTTAAAGCTTGCTTAAATTATATTAATAAAGATAAAATATGGGATATTATTTTTTCTTCTTTTATCTTATTTAAAAAAGGAAAATTACATTTATTTTAAAAAGTTATTTTTTTCAAATTATATACTCTTTTTTATTTTTTTCTTTCTCCAACTAATAAATAGGGCCCCAAGGAGAGAAAGAAGGAGGTGGAGTTGTCTACCCCACTTGACACAGGCATTTCAGGTTCGCAAAAGAAGAAAATTATCCCTAATCTTGCCTAGCAAGAGATCCAGGATATTTTCGCGCAACTATGAGGGAGAAAGTTATCCCTGATCTTGCCCAACAAAATATTGAGTTCGTCTAATCAAGCAAGTCAGTTTGATTGTAATTTTATCTAAACTGAAACTCTAGATTACTTTTGATCGAAGTTTGAACATTTCTTACTAAAAATTTTTTCTCAAGATTCTTGTTATGCCTCGCGGTTCGTGCTAAACTATAAAAATTTATTGATGATGTAGCAATATAATCCCACAACCTCAGATAAAACAACCAAAGCTTTCACCTTTACATGATGATGAATTTTCTATATTTGCATATCCAATACCTAAAATTTGTTTTATATATTTTTACCCTATTTTTAATTTCACATTAAAAATATTACTATCTTACCTAAAATTTGTTTTATATATTTTTACCCTATTTTTCATTTCACATTAAAAATATTACTATCTTAATTTTTAAATGACACAATTAACTTTTTTTAATTTATACAAGGAAGGTGACATGCAAAAATTGAAGCTTAGGTTACGTTTGTAAATACAAAAGAATTTAGGGGCATCTATATAAATCTTTCAACCGAATTTGACGAACTCAAATTGATAATTTTAGCATTTACATTTTCCCCGCCGCGGTCTACAATTTACCCTAAAATAGTTTCGTGCAAATCAAAAGAGGTTCACGTTTCTGTGAATCTTTCGTTTCTGCAATTTACCCTAAAATAGTTTCGTGCAAATCAAAAGCGGTTCACGTTTCTGTGAATCTTAACCCTCTCCCGTCCACTTCGCTTCCACGTTTCCGAGCTCCTGTTCTTCGGTTGCTTACAACCCTTACGTGTTTGCAGTAAAGCGAACGATATTTCTCGAGTTTTTCCTGTAGAAAAATGATCGAAGAAGCAAAGCATGCCGTGAAGAAAGAAGAGGAAGACGACCTCGACGGTCCCATTTCTGCTATCAGTCGCAAATCCTTGAAGAAGATGGAACCGATATTCAAGGATCGGTTAGACGACGACGACGATGTTCCGCTTGCTTTTTCTACGACGAAGAAGAATAAGCCCTCCAATTATTCCAAGATGAAGAAAGAAGAGCCCGAAGATGATGAAGACGAAAAGCCATTGAAGGTACATTCTTCAATGTTTTGCGATGGGTCGATTTTAAAACCATTATTGTTTATTGCTCTATTGCGGTGATTGATTACTAAACTGCAGAAGATGGAAGGTCTGAAGAAAAGGTTATCTGATTCACCTAAGGTTAAGAAGGAAGAGCGCGAAGATGATGACGACGAAATGCCTCTGAAGGTGCATTAATCTCTTTATACCCCTAGGATCAACCTTCTGTTTTTTTTTACTTTTTCGATTATGCTGATTACTTATATAAACGCAGAAAAAAGCAGTTTTGAAGAACGTTTCTAAACCTAAAATTGTGAAAAAAGAAGCTCTTATGGATTCTGAAAAAGAAGATGAAGGCAATAAGGTTTTTCTTTTGGCATTTTCAATCCAATTTGATTGCTGCATTTTCGGTGGCATCATCCTTTATATTTCTGATTTTTTTCCCCTTATTATTTTGTATTCTAGAAGAGTAGAAAGAGGAAAAGGACGGAAGAAAAGAGGACCGTGGTGAAGTCGAGAAAAGTTGAAGCTTCCAAAGAGAAGTTTAGGAATGATAAGAAAGAAAAGAAAGCGTATGAACTTCCAGGTCAGAAGCACGACCCGCCAGAGTTGGTAAGGAATACTTCCTTCTCAGTTTTTACTGATTGCTTCAGTGGTTATTTTGAGTAAATGGGCTTACCTCTTTTACCGTGGAGCTGCAGAGAGATCCACTGAGGATTTTCTATGAAACCCTTTACGAGAAAGTGCCTACAAGCGAAATGGCTGCAATATGGTTAGTATATGTTATCATACTTATATGACATATAAATTGTTTTGCTTAAATGTTTTCAGAGTTTTCAGAGAATGGCTTTAGGACTAACTATATAACATCTAGTGTTCATGAATGTTTTCTAGTTCCCAGCTTATAGGGAGTACTTTTTTTAGTCATTCATTGAGCTATGATGCACTAGTTCCGATAATGCGATTCGTGCACAGAGGGAAACGTCATGTATTAGAAATAATGAGACTTGAATTTCACAAGGGATATTATTTTCAAATATTATCATATCTACCGGTAAAGAACGTAGAAACACCTTTGTAATAATGGTATTAAAAGTAAATGATAAAGAAGAAGGAGAATAACATTCTTTTATCGGCGATTTTCCACATATTCGAATGCAATTGGCATAAGGGTTGTCTAATTTATATTGGTCATAGGTGTAGGTCATTTTATGGAAAATGAATGAATGAGATGATGTTACATTCTTTGCTCAACATGATGTCCCAATATCCAAGTTTTCAAGCTTCCATATTACTTGACAGCCCTATAAATGCTTGTGCTTTATTGAATGAGATATGGAACATTTTTTGCTTAACATGATGTCCCAAAATTGAACTTTTCAATGGTCAAGAGAACCTCTTGAAATGATTGTGTTTTATTTAATTTAGTGATATAAATACATAAATGTTGGGCTAGTGTTAATTTGAGCATCCAATATTTTGATTATCATCCACTTGGGCATGCGAGTGCCCAACGAGAGTATCTAGTAGTAGTTGTGTTAAATTATAAGTAAGGCCTGCTCCACTTGGGCATGCGAGTGCCCAACGAGAGTATCTGGTAGTAGTTGTGTTAAATTATAAGATGTTTAGTTTACTTCAAAACTTAGGAATATGATTTGGTAAAATGGTCAGTTTCTTCATTGCCATGTAGCTAACTTGATTTGGGTTTTGTCTTTTATATGTACTATGATAAACTCGATCTATTTTTTTTTCTTTTGGTCCAATGAAGTCATGTCATGCATCTAGTGTTTTTTAATTTGGCTACCAAAATTTTGGAAGGAAAGGTGATTGATGAACTTAGTTTTCTAACAGAATTAATCTTTCCAGAGAAAGTTAGTGTATGCACCAAAATTGTCAGCACAAATCTCAAAGTGATCTTACTGTTAGGGATGATGGTTAGGCAATCAAAACATCGAACTAGAGGAACATGATCCAAACCGACCATTCGATGAAATTACCACTCGGACAAAGTCAATCAACACACAGTGTCGATGGATCATATCGACAAGCCACTTAAGGTGCAGGAGCATTCGGTCGCAACTGAACGATCGACCTGCTTTGCTTTGGTAGGAACGACTGTCATTCGACCTTTCGCCTCGGTCGAACAAACTCAAATATGTCGATCAATTAATAGCCATCATAGTCAAATTTAAACTGCAATACGAATCCAACATTAAATCATGTGAATCTTGTATTAAATGCATTAATGACAGCTTTCATAATTGCTCTCTCCTTTCGGCAATTAAGAGTGATTTTCACCCTCCTTTATGTAATTGTACAAAAAAGGTCTTCTATAAATAAGAGGCTTAACAATAAATAAAGGGACTTTTCCTCTCGACTCTTCTCTCGAGAATTCTTTGTCGATCTCTCTCTTCCTCTCCTACTCTCCTTCTCCCGGCTCCAACTCTCTAGCATGAACATCCCACATACGAGAAACAGAGCCAACAATGAAGGAGAAACCTTGCAGAGGGACGTGGTACCCATGGAATTCAATAGAAAAACAGTATGAAAAGAGGTCTAAGTGTTGCAAGCGCAGATAATAGATTGGTTCGAGGCCCTTCAAGCGGCCATAACTCAAAGGAACTTTCAACTACCACTCTAAGAAGGAGAATCTCGAGGAACTCGCTCTCAGAAAGTTCCTCACAAAGATTCTTCTGCACCTGACAGTCAGTTTAGCAACCGACCGACCGAAGTCCGGGGGGACTCACAGCCCGCCGACAGTACTTCATCAATGCCGATGATCAAACTCTGGGCGGATCGAGCAGGAGCACCCACATGACCGACTGTAGGTGAGGCCTTCTCTTGACGAATCCTAAAAACTATACCCTCGGAGAAGCTAAGGATTCCCCATCTTGATCCTTATAAGGGGAAGAGCAGTCGACGGACCACATGGTCGTTTGAAGTTCTACAGATCAACGATGCTATGAAACGTCGACTCTTTCTGACCACGCTAAAGGAGGTTTTAACAGCTTGCCAGATAGAATCATCCCATCCTACTACGAATTCAGAAACCTCTTCTTAGCGCACTTCATCAACGTGCAGAAGCCAAGGATATTGAGACCCTTCTCCAGATCCGACAGGGAGAGAATGAAACCCTACGGGCTTACATCACTGACTTCCAGAAGAAAATGCTGGAGGTAAAGAACCCGGAGCCTCATCGCTTGGACCGCCCTGAAGCAGGAAATCCACAACAAGGGATTCTGATACAACCAGATCTACTCAAACCAAAGACTTTCGGGGAGGTCTTGGAATTGGCTAACAACCACATTGATGCTGAGGAAGACCCTATGGACTTTTCGAAAACTAAACCAGGGTCATTTGGTCGTCTGTTTTAGAAGCCAAAGGGTCGAGATGACGGAAGGAGGCCAAGGGCAATCGAAGACCAACTAACAACCCTCGATCTCGGGATGACCAGAGAGGTAACCAAGGCAACAGAGGTTGAAAGCATCGTTCTGACCAACGACCGACTCGATATTATGAGCGACCACATGTATATCAAGAGATGCAAAATTCGACACCCCTAAATGTGTCAATGGTTGAGCTAGTACAAACCATTCAAAACAAGGACCATTTCATGAAGGCCCCTCCACTGAAAACTGCACCAGCGCTGCGCCCAACTCGAACAAGTATTGTGCCTACCACTGGGACCATAGGTACGACACAGAGGAGTGTCGCCATCTCAAGAATTTGGTGGAGGAACTAATCGGGGCTGGAAAGCTAAAGAAGTTCGCCGCTGTCTGAGCATGCACACAATGATAGGGGAAGGCCCCAGCGGAGGAGCCTGCAGATGGACTAATGCAGACGATTGAAATCCACCTGGCTGGAATCATCCCGACTATTTTCAATGGAGGTAGAGGGTTACATCGATAGTCTAGCTTAAAGAGGCACAGATTGGGGGAGGTATGCTCCGTTATCTCTTACACTTTCACTCACCCTCAAATTATTTTTACATATGCAAATCTCCCCCAAAAGGAAACCTATACAACTAGACGATTGTCGTTATGAAGTTATAGACAACTACCTGTTGGGTAGCATCCTGGTCGACATAAGAAGTTTGATCGACATTCTGTTCAAAATGGTGTTCGTCAAAATGGGACTCAAAACCGATCAGTTGGTGACACCAGCCAGTCCATTATTCGGCTTTGTTAGTGAGAGGAAGGAAGCCTTGGGTGTGATTGCGTTGCTTGTCTCATGGGGAGAATGAGGAAAACAATTCACCAACACAGAGAACTTCCTAATGGTGTAGTCCCCACCAACCTACAATGCTATTTTCTGCCGACCACTGTTGAATAGCTACCAAGCTGTGGCTTCGACCTATCATGTGACTGTGAAATTTACTGAAGACGAGGGAATTAATCATGGTTCGAGGGAATTTGGAGCAGTCCACAAGTTGCTATCTCTGAGCGTTCACCGGTGTCAGTTAAGAGCCGCTCGACATTCAAATTCAGAGGGAAGGAAGTCTCGAAACTAGCAAGACCGTTCTTTGGGTGCCTGCAACCAACGAGGGTGAGCATGGTAAGATTTCTAATCAGTGATAACTTTGATGCAGGACGCAGAGACGTGCTGATCCAAACCCTTTGCATGCATCGAGACAACTTCACATTGACAACCGTAGAGATGGCTGACGTCTAGGTTGATGTTGCATGCCACCGGCTCAATATCAGCCCTTTCGCTTGACTAGTGCAACAAAAACTTTGATCGACTGCAATGACCTTAGCCGAGCCAATAGTAGCAGAGATCCAGAAGCTGAAGCGGGCATGCTACATTCGGGAGGTGTAGTACCCCACCTGGATCTCAAACGTGATAATGGTTCGGAAGCCCAACGATAAATGGAGAATGTGTGTCGACTTCACCAACCTTAATGCCGTCTGTCCAAAGGATACATATCCCCTACTAAGGATGGACACGCTGGTTGACGCGGCTTTTGGCTACTTCGTGATGAGTTTCCTCAACGCCTTCTCCAGATATCACTAGATTAGGATGCATCCGACCGATGCTGCCTCCACTGTAAGTTAGTGCTCAAGTTGGTTCATTGTAATGATCTGTTTAGGTATAGCTTATGAGAGCCATTTCAGAGTACAATGATTAAAACTAAAAAAACTTTGTTGAGAAATATACCTAATATTTTGCCATTTTGGGCATTGCGGCTCTCAATATATTGGAGACTGTTTTTTTTCCTTTTGATGTGCTAAAATATTTTTGCCATTTTGGGCATTGCGGCTCTCAATATATTTGAGACTGTTTTTTTCCTTTTGATGTGCTAAAATATAAATTCAAAGAAGGTCCATCAAAGGGAATGAAACTAGTTCTATCTGCTATCTTGTTTGTAGATGAGTGTTAGTTTGCCCTAGGTTCATCAAAGGGAATGAAACTAGTTCTATCTGTCATCTTGTTTGTAGATAAGTGATAGTTTGCGCTATTTTACTTGGCAAAAGGTACCATTATGTACGTATATGCATGCATGAATACATACTTGTGCTTGTGCGTGTGCGTGTGCGTGTGCTTGTGCTTATGCGTGCGTGTGCGTGTGCTTATGTGTGTATGCATAAAATTCTCTTTTTATGCACTTCAAATTATATATCTTACAATGGAACTAGTTCTATCTATTATCTTGTTCATAGATAGATGTTAGCTTATTCAATCATACTTGGCGAAAGATACTTTAATATACATACATGCACGCATGTATGCATACTAGTGTGTATGTGTATGCGTAAAAATCTCTTTTTATGCACTTCAAATTATATATATTAAAGCAAAAGACGTTTTCACACCCTTGAAAAATAAAAAGATTTTCTTTTTTTTTTGGGACTAAGTTATTCTTGATAAAGTTGTCGAGAATCTCATTGAATTGATGGCTAGGAAATGGTTTCCTATTAAGCAGGCTTAGGGATTAAAGGTGGGCATGGCTTATCAGGACATTGGGTCGACTTGACTCTATTGTTCCTCTCAGTCATCATTATCATTAGTCTTACCCTCCGATTTGCTGTCAGCCATGTCAATCCTTTTACTTCATCCATCCATGCTATCCCTTCGTTACTTTAAAAATAAATTTTAAGATTGTACAATGATGTAGTGTGTTCTTGAGTATTGGAACTTTAATTCACCCTTAGCATTCAATGTAGATTCATATGTGATCCACCATGCAACAAACAATTAAAAATACAAAAAATCTTTTAATTTTAAATTATTTTTTTAAAGTTTTGATGAAAAATTGAAAGGTCAAAAGACCAATTTAACCGAAATGACTAGGCTTGTACTCAAAATAATAAAAAAATAAATTAAAAATTACCAAATTCTTAAAATGAATTGAAATTTGGTGGAGAGGAAAAAATGATTATAGCAAATCTAATTAAAAATAATAATTTTATATTTAACCAAAAACAATGGAAGAAAGCAGCAAGCAAAAAGAAGAATGTATGTGTGAGAGAGAGCCAAAGAGAGCATACTCAAGCCTCACTCTTGAAGAAAGATTGCATCTCTCGAATATTCCAAATCTTACACTTGGTTGAATTGTTTTTTCAACATTTTTCATAATACTATCTATAGATCTCATTAGACACCTATTATGATAAAATACACTGGCAAATAAAAAATCAGGTGAGGACGCATAAAATTGCAAATGGAATACCGATAACAATGAGTTAAATTGTTTGTGAGAAGAGTAAAGACCGTCAACGAGAATTGTTAAAAGAGGCTCTCGTAGTTGTTTGCGGTCAAGGCTAAAATTTCACAAGAACAATCCAACTATAAAAATAGCCCTACAATAGAAATTATAGTATAGTGTCATGATGCCAAATCAATTTTGCCTTAACAAATCTTTGACCTTGTTGAATCATGATGTTGATATTTTCTTGGTAAATTTGGGCATGATGCTCAATTTCTCGTAGTTTTATTTTTGAATTACTTCTAGATCCATCTTTTTTACTTTAGAATTTGTCTTGGGGTCATATCTAAAATAATTTTAAAAATTGTGTTTCAATTAATTGCTGTTGCAAATCAATTAAAAATTGCATCACTTTCTTGATTTTTATGAAGTTTTGTAAGCTTTGGATTTGTTCCAAATCTGATGGTTGCTATTGATGTAGATTTGAAGTGTAGTAATTGCCCCTTATCCACAGGCTTAAGCCTTTGTGTTGAAATAGTTTGATCACTTGGTTCGCTCTCCTTAAAACATGGTTTCACAAATTCAATGGTTTGGTTGAGATCTAGTGGTTGATGTAATTTGTGGCTCCCATGAATTTTGAGTTATGTTTATCATGATTGAGCAACATTCAAGAGCAGGCGACTCTAATGATGCTTAAAGATGGTTGAGTAGATTTTTAGTTCTTGATACATAATGATGCTTCTATTTGAGAATTGGTGATGACTAAAATAATAAGCTCTCATGTGAGAGGTGGATGTCGGTT